TCATGTCACATGTGGTCCCTGCTACATGGGAGGCTATAGGTAAAAAGGTCATAGCCTGGTCTGAGGCTATCACTGGACCAAAACTTGAGATCCTACCTGAAAAATAACTAAACCAAAAGTTCTGGGTGGTGTGGTTCAAGCTGTGAAGCACCTGCCTACCAAGACCAAGGCCCTGAGTTCAAACCACAATACCAACAGAAAACAAAAACATTACATTAAGTGAAAGCAGGGTTATGAATCCACTTATGAAATGTCTGAACTATGCAAGTCTAAAGAGATAGAAAAAATGTTGGTTATTTCTGGGCGCTGAGGGAAAGGAGTGGGGATTGATAGCTAATAAAATGATGCTACCACCTAAAACTGGATCATGGCAATGACTCACAAATTTATAAGTATACTGAAACTGAACTTTATGCTTTGTATATTTTATCTCAATAAAGTTTTTTATTTGAAGGAACAAAGCAGGAAAATAAATACACAGTCTCCCCACAAAGAAAGCCTGGATATAAATGGTTTCACTGGTGAATTCTATCAAATATTTAAAGTAGTAATACAATTCTATATAATCTTTTCCAGAAGATAAATTTATTTTATGTCCTAACTTATTCAATGAGGCTAACATTGCTCTGACACCAAAACTAAAATAAGACATAACAAAAACTGTAGACAAATATTGTTCATGAATATCGAATAAAAATTTAACAAAATGTCACCAAACAGAATTCAGCACTATATAAAAAAGATTACATATTATGTCCAAATGGGACTTATTGCAGGAGTACAAGACTGATTCAACATTCAGTAATCTATTCATACATTAACAGAGCTAAGAAACCAAATGCACAAGATGCTCTCTAAAACAGACACTTAAGAATGCAACAAACTCCAATACCCATTCACAAAAAAAACTTCTTCAAAAACTAGAAACAGGACACTCCCTCAACTAGACAAAGGACTTTTATGAAAAACATACTGGTAACATTATACTTAATGGGAAATTTTTCCCCGCTTAAGATTAGCAACAAGGCAAGGAAGGATGTGTGTTCTTGCTACTTCCATTCAACACCATATGGGAAATGTTAGCCTGTACAGTAAATCTGTGTGTTTGGGGGGGGCAGGGCATATTAAAGTTTCTGGATTTGAACTGTCTCTATTTGCAGCCCACATGATCCAATATGTAGAAAATCTTCAGGAATCCATGTAATAAAAAACTATCAGCAAATGAGTTCAGCAAAAGTATAGTATACAAGATCAATGTACATTCTCAGCAATGAGCAATTCAAAAGTGAAATCAAGAAAAAAATTTCAGCAAAAATAGTATCAGGGATTACAAACTTGAGAATAAATTTAACAAAAGTACTGCAAGTCTTGTGCACTGAAAATTATAAAACATTAAGAGAAAAAAAAGACCTAAATAATGGAGAGATTTCTAAATATATGGTTCGGAAAATTCAGTATTAAGACAGCAATTTTTGCTGGGTGCCAGTGGCTCATGCCTGTAATCCTAGCTACTTGGGAGGTGGAGATTGGGAAGAGCATCGTTCAAGGCCAGCTGGGGTAAATAGCTTGTGAGACTCCATTTCCAAAATAACCAGAGCAAAATGGACTGAAGGTGTGGCTCAAGCAGTAGAGCACCTGCTTTGCAAGCGCAAAGCCTTGAGTTCAAACCCCAGTCCCACCAAAAAACAAAAAAACAGCAATTTTCTCCAAATTTATCTACAGATACACCAATATCACAACAGGGTTTTCTTTTCTTTGTAATAATTATCATCTGAACTTAAAATTTATATGGAAATGTGAAGGATCCAGAGTATCCACACAAGTTTGAAACGTAACAGAGCTGTAGAACTGACACTATTTGATTTCAAACATTATGAAAGTTACCAATCAAGACACCATATACTGGCATAAAAGAGACATACAGGCTAACCAAAAAGAACAGAACAGAAATGGGAGTCTAGTGACTGATGTTTACATAGACAGTCAATTGATTTTTAACAATGGTGCAAATCAGTGAGGTAAAGGATAAGTCTTTTTAACAAATGGTGATGGGACAACTGGATAGCCACATTCATAAAGGTGCATTTAGATTTGTTCATCAAGACATATTCAAATTTAACTCAAAATGAATTATCTTAAATGTAAAAAAACTACACTAAAACTATAAAACTTCTTATAGAAAACAAAGGTGAAAATCTTTGTGATCAGGCAAAGAGTTCTTTGGTACAGTAACTATTCATGAAATGAAGTTGGAAATGTATCAAAATTACGTTTACATTTCAAGAGACACCATTAAGAAAATGAAAAGGCAGGGCTAGGAGCATGGCTCAAGTGGTAGCGCACCCCTCTAACAAACCCTGAGTTCTGCCCCCAGTACTGAACTCTCCCTCCCCTGCCAAAAAAGGCAAGCCAGAAATGAGGGAAAACTGCAAATCATATGACTAGAGAACTTTTCAATACACATTTCACCAAAATAGGTAAGCAAATAGCCAATGAGCACCGGAGAAGAGTCTGAACAACATTTCAGAGGAAAGCAATCTCACACCCTAGCAATAGAATGGCTACAATAAAAAAATTAATAGCATGTGTTTAAGAAAACCCTTTCCAAAAAAAAAATTGAATTTACCAAAAAAAAGAGAAAAAAAAAAAAAAGAAAACCCTTTCCTGCCACTGACCTGTACATTTAAGAAGTTTAAATAATACATTTTATATTATACATATTTTACCATAATTTGTAAAAAAATGACAATGAATCAAGCAGGAAAAAACCAAAAATCTTACAAAGAAAAGCCTAGTTTTAGGATGGCTTCATTAGTGAAATTCAGTAAAATATTTAAAGAAGAAATAACATATCTCTTCTAGAAAACAGAATAGTAGGAAACACCAGCATTTTCAATTAGTTTAAGATATAGTTAAAGGCATCAAGACTTACTTTTTACAGAAGTGCATTATATTATAATAGTAAAATATAAAAGATATTATAAAAGTAAGATATAGATACTGGGACCAGAAGTTTTGAGAATTATTCCAATCCACACTTTGTTGCCAACTAGTTGTATAGTTTTTGTCGTTACTTCATCTTTTTGGACTTTAGTTTCCTCATTTATAGACAGAGAAGTTTACCAAAGAAATCCTTTCCATTTATATGACAGAATTCTATGTTTAGTTATTACATAAAATTTTGTTTAAACTTGCCTGCATAACCCTTTGGAAAACAAAATAGCAATACACAGTAAGAGACAGCCCACGCTTGCTGGTAAAGTATTTCAAGTTCCAGATATTTATCTTGAGGATAAGAACAACACAAAGAAATATCAAATTACTAAAAACTAGTGTTAACGTGACTGCAGACATTTTTGTTGTTTTTTCGGTACTGGGGACTGAACTCAGGGCCTCACACTTGCTAGACAAGCACTCTATCACTTCAGCCACGCCTTGAGTCCAGAAAGTAATTTTTAAGTGAAAAGAATCAGAATATAAATGATTTCAACTATGAAAATGTACAAAGTAGGTAAGTATATGTCAAACAAAAGATAATTTGAACTAATGAAAGTAGTATTAGGATGGGGAAGGATGGCTTTTTTGCTTTTCCCTGACACTCTTTTGAAATGTTGATACATAGTTATCAGTGGAGAAAATAAGATTCAAAATAAAAGGGCAGAGATGCAAATATCAACATCATGTTGGTATGGTTCTAAATTGCTCTGGCTTAATTAATGCTTCCTAACAGTGGTTATAAACTCTCAACAGACATCTTGGTGAGTAAAATTTTAATCAGTTTGTTACAACAGTATTTTTTCTTTTTTTCATTCCACTAGGTGTTGGAAGTCTGTGACTTTGCAAAGTATCCATCAACATCCAGATATGCTACCAGGTAGTTCAAAACCATTACACTTGGACATTTCATTTACCACCATCACTCTGTCTCGAGTTTTCAGCTTAAAATTTCCCAAGCAGCTTTCATTTTTAAGTGTGTCAACCACAAAACTACTTCAATTAGACAACCACTAAAGTTCCTTTCAACAAAGGATAGTAGAAAGAACAAAGTGTCTAGCTTCTTGATCATGGGTGCCTACTGGAATGAAAATTTCATCATGACCCAGTCTTAACATTCCCAATGTCAGTAGGGGAAGACTGGTAATGCCATCATGTACAGCTGTAATAATAGGTTGAATCATACAAAACTATTTCTGTGGGGTACAAAGTTCACTAATGTAATTTTGTATGTCAGTGCTCTGTATTAAGAAAAATATCACACAAATTTCCATAAGGATAAAATTTACTTAAAGGCATTTTAAGACAAGGTAAAGAACTTTATTAGCTTCTTGGGCACAGTTTTATTTTGGTTTTCCTGGTCCTTCTATGTTTACTAAAGCTTCGTGACAATACTTTTTGATTTTTGGTTAGAGAAAAAACAAACATGACAGTTTTCTCTTTATTTTAGTACATGTATATTTCATAAGTTTTTTTGTAATCAGACCTGACCTTCAATTTAAATTTTGTTTAGAGTCTCTAGAATCACTGTCAAGAACGCTCTCTCTCTAACCTTCCTAATAATGAGTGCTTTTAGTTGAGTCATTCGACCAGAATTTTAAGCAATTAGCTTTTGTATGTATGCAATGATATGTTACAATCATTATAAGCAAAACCAAGATGTATTTAACTGAAGAAAAAATATTAGAATTATCCCATCCTAACGCAAATCCTGCCAAAGTCCTGTTTCCCTTTTTTTTCCTGTACTGGGGCTTGAACTCAGGGCCTTTACCTTGAGCCACTCCATTAGCCCTTTTTGTGTTAGGTTTTTCTGAGACAGGGTCTCGAGAATTATTTCCCCGGGCTGGCTTCAAACTGCGATCCTCCTGATCACTGCCTCCTGAGTAGCTAAGATTATAAGTGTGAACCACCGGTGCCCAGCCTGTTTCTCTTTTATAGCATAAGAAGTTTTAGTGCCAACACTTTGAGAGAAGTGCTTCTTCTACCCCATTTTGAAAACATCTTACCTGAAACTACCATAGACTATAAGAAGAATGGATATCAGAAATGTAGACACTTGACTGGAATCCACCAGGGAATAGGCCCTAAAAAAATAAGAGGAAAAAAAAAATTAAATCACATGCAGTAAATCCTGTGGAGCTTACAGTCTATGTCTTTGCATGGCAAACTAACATAATTAAAATGAGATCTGCTAACTTAACATGAGGAATAAATTGAGAGGTTCATGGCCATTATTAGTTTATATTCACAGGATGTTAAATAATACTAATGTAAAAACCCCATCTCTATATGATATACAATGTATGTTCCTAGCATCTACTCCCTATTTAAAAAATATCAAATGTCTACCAAGTCTATTCTAATGACAAAAAGTCTCAGTGATTACACTTTTATCAGTTTACATTGGAATCACCAATAGTATTTTGCTGGGTTAACTCAATGATGAGGTAAACCCTACATTTCTCTCCTGAATTCCATTTCTTTTTCCTGTCTACTATCTCAACTCAACCTGGAAGTCCTATAGGAAGTTCTTCATAGCAGATCTAAAACTAGTCATTATTCTTCCCTTCATACTTGACCCTCCCCTCTAAAGAAATGGTTGCACTGTTGACATCTACTTATCTTACTTTAACTACATGACATTCAGCCAATCCTACAATTTCCACATCTTCAATGACTCCAGCCACTTCCTTAGATCCTTTTTATGGCTCAACTACTGTAAATCTTATTTTCAAGTGTTTCCACAAGCCTTCACATTACCCACTTTGGGCAGTTGTATTTTTTCTTTATTCAGCAAATACTAATGATGTCTATGTGCTAGGCACTCTCTGCCAGCCTATCCTCTGGTAGCCACTGAGGATGTAACAAAAAGTAAGAGCCACTTGGTCCTTATCTCAATGTCTTTTCTAAAGGCATGCAAACAAAAAATTAACCTTAACAAGTGAACGTGTGGAAAGTGTTAGAAAGGGGAGAAAGAGACAAGAGCAGAGCACCATGAGAATGCATATTAGGTTGACCCCATTTAAGAATGAGATGGGGGAACATTCCTAGGGAAATAGGTGAATGGAGGCATGTAAAATACAATAAGCAGGGCCTGGTCATTGCTTACAGGCGGTAGGAGGGGGAAGAACCTGGGATGCTTCCTGGGTTTCTACTGAGCATCTGATCTGGGTTTATGTGCCATTCAGCAAAGAAAGATTCAGAGTTAAGTTCTGAATGTATTGATAGCTGGTTATACAGAGTTCAGAAATAGCTCGAAGTTAAAGAACACTGGAAGTTCATCACCTGTACATTGTGAGTGAAGCCAAAGGCATGAGGATGCCTTAAAGAATATTCTGTATTTAACAAAGAAAATCCCCAGCTAGGGTCTGTAAACAAATATTAATATTTTTGTTGTGAAACACATGAACATTCACAATAAGAATAAACATTATAAAATAGTCTTATTAATTAAGATTAGCCCTTGAAGCAAAATGATAAGCAAACAATTTCCAGAGTTTTGGGTTTGGAGAATTGCAAACTTCTGTGATTAAATTATTATTGTCTGGTTAGAGTGCCCTCCTAGCAAGCATGAGGCCTTAAGTTCAAACCCGAGTGCTGCCAAAAGGAAACAAACAAACAATATATAAATCTAAACTATTTTATTTACACACAAACTTGGGAGTCAGGAGACAGAAGTTTCTTATCTGCATACTGTAACTAGCAGTATGATCCTCCTCTTTAAAATCTTCTTTTGGCCCAATAAACTGGAAGGCACACCACATGGATTTTAAGATTTTTAACTATGATAATTGGGGTTTGGGCTATGGAGTAAGGTTAAGATAGACAGGACAGGTAGGTAGGGAAAGGTAGGTATTCAAAGGAAATGGATGGGTAGTTCAGCTAATTCTAGGAAATTAAGGCCCAACAATTTTATTTCAACCAAACTACCAATAGAAATGTGTGGTCTTTCAGGCCTTCCTGACAAGGTGATGGACATTAAAGACAGAAACTATGCTGTTTTTCTGAAACAAAGGATTTCTTATTGAAATGCAAAAAGAAACAAAGTACATACATCTGAGACATGCCAAAATCAGGTTAGCCGAATGTACTTTAAACAGACTTGAAGAATTTGCTAAGTGATATGTTAGTATTGGTCAGGTGATGAACTGAAATATTTTATATGGTTACTACAAAAACCACTTATTCTTTAACTATATCACCTCCAAGCCTCTACCTTAATAGATACAGTCAAAAAGCTGCCAGTGTGTCCTATCATATTGAAGACTATATTCTATATCCTAAAACATTTAAAACCATACTGGAGAGAAATTCCAAGATGGCGGCTAGAGGTAGGAAGCAGAAAGCGAGCCTCCTATAGTGAAATCTTGGAGAGACGCTGGAGACACACTTTGCAGGCATAATCACCGAGAAAAGGCATAACTTTGACTCCTCCACACCTCCAGCCAGCGCAGAGAATCTCCACTTCACGTTAAACGGAGAACCGAGGAGGCCCCCGGGGCCGCCAGTGGCCGGCGCCCATACGGCTTGGGAAGACGCGGACCAGGTGAGCTTCGCGGTACCGCGGTTCCCCCACAGACAAGCCTGGGCCAGAGCATCATAGCCCCCTGGACAGACTGACCTCCACCCGGGAAAAAAGAGAAACTGAGTACTAAGCAATAAGAACAGTTAAGACACGCTGGAAAGAGGGTGGGGCGCCCTGAGCGCTGAAGATTGGGGGAAGGGAATCCTTCCCGGGACTGTAAAGAAACGAGCCGGGGGGCCGGAGAGGCTCTGGCGGGAGCGGGGCGCGCCAGCAACCAGGAGCGGGGACGCTTGTGAGAGGAGGGAAGACCCACTTCCCACGTGAACTGTAAATAAACACGCAGGCCTGACAACGCGGGGCAGTGTCACCTTTCCCAGTGCTTGGAAAGGGAAAGCCTGTAGCAGAGGCCCCCTCCCGCACAGGAGAACTCTGAGCAAACAAAGCCTGTGGGACCAGGTGAGTGCTAGCTCACCCCAGAGATCTGCATAAATAACGCCGCCAGCTACAGGCTGAGAGCAGCAGGCAGGCAAGCCACAGTTGCAGATACCACTCTCAGAACTGCCTCCAGACGCTTTTTTTTCTTTTTCTCCCTACCTTTGATGAGAGAACAACCGAATTACACCTGCAAGCCGAAAAACTTACTGAAACTGTATTGCATTTGAACTGGGGACACTTGCTGGGCTTTTTTTTTTTTTTTCTTCTGTGTGTGTGTGAGTGTAGTTTTGTTCTACTTTATGCATCCCCTTTGATGAGACAACTACAGAACAACATCTGAGGCACCAACTCCAGGACTGGAGATTGAGACGGACATCCAAATTATTAAGACTGAAATTGCATTGCATATAAACTTGGAAGTTTTTTGGTTTTTTTTTTTTAATTTTCTATTTTCCATTTTATTTTCATTTTTATATAGATATTACTTTCATATACTTATTTTTATTTTTTTATCTTTGATTTTCAGTCCTCTCTCTCTCTATTGTCTGTCCAGCTTACTGTCGATTAGTACACTAACACTCCCTGTTTATACCTTTGAAACTCTCTTGTCTGATACCTTGTTCTGCTTTCTCCCTCTTGTCTGTATATTTGTTTTCCCCTTTTCTTTAACTTCTTGCTTTCCATCTCAGCTCACTCTTCCATTCTCAATATTACCATTGTTATTATTACAAGCTAGAAAATACTTAATTACACACAGTACAGGGACAGTAACAACACCAAGGACAATGACAGGAAGACAGAAAAAACAGGAAACCAGTTTCCCCACAGCAAAAAATTAGTACAGGAACCAGAGGGGAATGAAGAGAACAGAAACTCAGATCCAGACTCCAACAAAATGAAGATAAACTATGCCAAAGGACCCAATGAAGCCCACAAGAATAATTTAAAAGAAGACATACTACAAGTACTCAATGAGAATTTTATAGAGATGATACTGGATAGGGTCAACCAAAATGTACAGGAGACACTCAAGAAATTCCAAGACAATAAAAATAGAGAATTTGAAAAAGCAAAAGAAGAAATAAAGGAAACCATAGAAGCACTGTATAAACACCAAAGTGAAAGAGAGAACACAATGAATAAATGGATAAATGAACTCAGGACAAAAATAGACAACAATAAAGAAGAAAACAGCCAGGATATGGAAAACCTCAGAAAAAGAACGAAACAGAACTGCAAAACAAAACGGAAGGCCAATCCAGCAGAATAGAACAAACAGAAGACAGAATCTCAGAACTTGAAGATGAAATGGTAATTAAAGGAAAAACTGAAGAACTATTAATTAAACAACTCAAGACCTGTGAAAAGAAAATGCAAGAACTCACTGACTCCATCAAAAGACCAAACTTGAGAATCATGGGCATCGAAGAAGGAGAAGAGGTGCAAGCGAAGGGAATGCGTAATATATTCAACAAAATAATAACGGAAAATTTCCCAAATCTAGAGAAAGATATTCCCATACAAATGCAAGAGGCCTCCAGGACACCAAACAGACCAGATCAAAATAGAACTACTCCACGACATATCATCATTAAAACAACAAGTTCAGAAACTAAGGAAAGAATATTGAAGGCTGTAAGAGAGAAAAAACAAGTAACATACAAAGGTAAACCCATCAAAATCACAGCAGACTTCTCAACAGAAACATTAAAAGCAAGAAGAGCGTGGGGTGAGATCTTCCGGGCACTGAATGAAAATAACTTCAACCCCAGGATACTCTACCCAGCAAAGCTATCATTCAAAATAGATGGAGCAATAAAAGTCTTCCATGATAAGCAGAAACTAAAACAATATGTGACCACAAAGCCACCATTACAAAAGATTCTGCAAGGGATCCTGCACACAGAAAGTGACACCCAACTTAACCATGAAAAGGCAGGCAGCACCAAACCACAGGATAAGAAAAAGCAAGACAGTAGAGAGTAACATCAAGTTAGGTACACACAATCAAACCTTCAAACAACTAAGACAACTAAATGGCAGGAATCACCACATACCTATCAGTACTAACACTTAATGTTAATGGACTTAATTCACCCATCAAAAGACACCGTTTGACAAAAT